ACATTATTCATAGCTTTTAAAATGTTTAAAATTGATGTGTAATTGGTTGGCCCTGATCACTGAACTACTTGCGTTAAAGTGATATAGTACCTTGTTCAAAATCTACTACTTGTTATTCCTCTCCTTGCAGGTACGAACGTCGATTTTCAGAACTGAATGCTAATATCCAGGTCACATGCCCTTCTGTGGCTTAACAGGCCTATCTTTTCCAACTTTTCAATAAATCCCTTGCCATGTGTGTGTTGGTCTCTTATTGGTTCTACTAATGAGAATTCTCTGCGTTTACTTTCTGTCAATAAACAGGAAAAATTTCAACAGACCAGGAAATACTATGCTACCTACAATGCCCTTTTGGAGATTAAAGAATTGATGCTAAAAGAAAATTTGTTGTTGAATTCTCTAAGTTCACAGGTACATCTCGTTACTATGTTAGGATTGAAGTGAGGGAAAAGAAAATGAAAACATAGGATGCTTACCATCATTTCATTTGTTTAGATAAAAGGTAAAAATAAGGGAAGAAGCAACAGTGAGCATCCATAACTTTCCCTCAAAACTAATTTTTATATTTGTTCCAAATTGGAGGAAATGTGGGAAAAGAAAAGATCTCAAAATGATTAAAGTAAATGTTCTTTTTTATTTGTTTTTTAAAAAATATTTTTTATGTAACTACTTAACTTATCATTCTATCAGTTCTTTTTGAAGAAAAAGAATAAGAACACCAACGGTTTGCAACCTGGGTACAAAAGTAATTATAAGTGTGTCAAAATATCAACTAACTCTCCTAAATCCTCATCAGAATAAAGAGGATGCCTTCTATCAGAAGACCAAGGGTTTTGAGGCAAGTATCCTTAATCTATCAAAAGACAGTTCTATATCCTCAAAAGTTCTATTCCCCTCTTTCCAAATAACTCATAAGGTAGCTAAAAAATGAGGCTTAAGTGCTTGTTGTAGCGTTTATTTCCTCAGATGCCTCGCAGTGCCCAAACTTCTTCTTTAACCGAACTTTCCATGACCCAATTCACTCCCAATAGACGGTAAGCCCGGCACCACAGCTGGTAGGATACAGGCCACCAAAGAACGAGGTGATTGACCGTCTCTGCTGCCCTTTTACGGAAATAGAATCTGTTCACAAAACCTTCGCCCTTCTACTAAGATTGTCCAGAGTTAAAAAGTGACCGCTTACAATTTGTAATAAAAGACATTGTTGACTATTTTTTACAAGTAATGCCTGCACTCTTTACAAAGCTAGACTAAATAAAATACTATAAACAATTTTCTTTTACTTTTTTAATTTTTAATTATTCAGTGAATGACAAATTTTCCTTTAAAAACCACTAATCTCCTTTCTTTCACTCTTTGTTCTTTCACAAATTTTATCATAACCTACTATAAATGAGACAGCTCGATTGTGCGCGATCTGCGGTCAATGTATAGCTTTTTCTTCGGTAGTTCTTTCTAAAATCCTATTTGATTAATGAATTTTGTCGACTCACAATCAATCACACCATCTGTGAAAGCTTCTTTTCCAAGTGATGTATGTAGTCGACAATGTTAATGGAAGATGCATATATGGTCCTATATTAATGTTGTTTTTGGGTCTATTAGCCACATGGCTTTCGATTTTGGGATTTGATTATCATGATTGAAGAGTTATGTTCCCTTAATCTCTAGTCAATTAGCATTGCTTCTCTCACCCCTCCCCCCAATGGTCAATTAGTTCTGCTTAATTTTGTCTGAGTGAACTATATGTTTTAGTTGTAGTTTTAGACAATTAAATAGAATGAAGCATTCCCTGCCATATATACTATATCCTCTCTGAGTAGTCTTCACCTCTGTGACTTGTGTTTGATGTATAATTTCTACAGTTTCAAGAAGCATTTTCAACCCCCGCTGGCCGAATGAAGCTAATGCATTCCATGGAGGGAATTATAAAAGGTAGCCAACAGGTAACTATCACATTCGTTGATAGGAAAAGAAGCTTCGTTAAGAGAAGAGAGAAAATAAGTACAAATTGGCGAATGTCTTTTTTTCTGTTCTGAGATAGAAAAAAAAGAGATATCCTGCTAATCTTGTCAACAAAAAGAATCCTAACAGAACATAAGCAAACAATTGTATGGTCTGTTAATGAACAAAGATGATAGCTTCGCAATTCCGGTGGAGATTGGAAATGGTTGTCTCAGGAAAGATGATAACAGTCTTATTGAAGTAAAGAAGATCATCTAAGAAACATTTAGAGCAGAACTCGCAATTCCAGTGGAGATTGGAAATGGCTATCTCAGGAAAGATGATAACAGTCTTATTGAAGTAAAGAAAACCATTTAAGAAATGTTTAGAACAGAACTCATCGTCTTCAATACTCAAATTACTTGCGGGTAGAGCAGTCAAGCTTCTTGAGAATGCCTGCAATCTGTTTTAGTCTCGGGGTTTCTTTGTTTTTTCCCCCTTTTCTCTTCTCCCTTTTCCCATTTCAGTGAAGAATACTAATTTTTTGTATGTTCAATTTCTGTTTGTACCTCTGTGTAGAGAATATGCTTCTTATTATTTGAGGGCAATTTATATTTGCATCTGCTTTGCAGAAGCTGGAAAAGGTGCAGCTTGGTCTCCAAGAAGAACAAAAGGTGTGTGATGCTCTCAAAGAAAGATATTCTGCTGCCATTTCAGAGCAGAGACGCTGCTACTCTTTCTTAAAAGCTTTTCAGGTGAGCACTGTTATTGTTATGCTTCGCTTTTATAGTCAAATTTAAAATTTCTTACCCTTTTATTATTCTATGGACATATATTACGCACGCATAAGCACTTTTTAGTACTTGGGTTTGATTAGGAAAACGTGATTATTCTGATTAAGAGATTGGAATAAAATAGAGCAGTGGATTATTTTACGTTACTTAAGA